ACACGGTGCCAAATCCCAGAAGACTGCATTCTTCAATCTACAAGTAACGGCTACAATTACTTATCACACAGTTGCGGGGTTTCACACTTTATAACCCTAAACGCATTAATCTGTTACCACTGTTGCGGGGTTTCACGCTTTGTAACCCTATGCGCAAATCAGTTCTCTCTGTGTTCAGTAGTCTACACGTTTACAGTAGGGGAGCTATGTATCACTGTATCGCACACTCCCAATTACACACACGTCCGGTTCTTCTTTCCGTGACGGCTGCTATACTCCAACTGTAGTCGCAGGCTGCTGCCTTGAGAACTGTTGATAACACACTGGCTCGACTACTACTGATCTGAGCGATGGCCACATTACAACTCAACTCGGCGACTGTCACATTACAACTCGACTCGTAGCTGCTGTGCAGTTCCCTTATATAGCCGCAGTGGTGCCTGTTGCGTGCCACGTCACAGGAGTTGTTGCCTGCTGCCTAGCAACCGCGATATCCCTTGGTGATGTCACCGTTGTTGACTCGCGTTGCATAGCTACAAGGTTGCGGGGACTCGGCTAACTTCGGCTCCGCTCGTGACGTCACCGCGGGGAGAGTGGCGGGGTGATGACTCGCCTATTATGCGAGCGCTACGTTACCGCCACGTGCTGCTGGGGAGGTAGGGGTGCTTCGTTGTGCAACATGTCACAATATTTTCTATTACAAATTGTGAAGAAATTAAAATTTAAATTAAAAAAATATTTATTTAAAATTCTGTCACTGGCTGTAAAAATTCTATGTTTTTGTGTTGTCCCGCATTGTAGGTTGTCCTACGCCCAGGGTTCACTGTTATACTATAGTTATAGAAGCTATTCGTGACAATGATAGTAGTTTTCAGTTTTTCCCACTTATCTTCTTGGGTATGTCGTCGTGATTTTGTTTTATTCTTTAGGGTGTACTGTGTATTCCTTCTGTGTGGGCATTTATGTTGTATCTATTCCTGGTTACAATGTGAACAGCGAACCCTGGGCAAAGGACAACCTACAATGCAGAACAACACAAAAACAGAATTTTTACATCCAACATAAAGAGGATTTTAAATAAATGTTTTTTATTTAAATTTTAATTTCTGGACCATTTAAAAGTAAAAAAAATCTTGCCACTCCTGATGGTTGCACATATGACTTTAATGAGTAGTAATAACATGGATCCACATTAGAAGAGTTCAATAACCTGAGATGTACTTAGTGAGACTGCCTGAAGATGGTCCCATTTGTGGACTGAAACACGTAGCAACTATTAAATAAAACCAATGTGAGGACTTGAATTGGTTTAATTTTTATTTATTGTTGTGCTGATGACCAAACACCATCAATCGTAGTACACAACAGGATGCAAACAGTGAAAATCATTCAAGGATCATTTGCATCAACGGCTGTTGTTTAAGAATTACCCACTAACTACAGCAAGGAAAATACTCTTCGAGGCAGCTTGGACATTGCTGCACTGAGAAGGTATCTCACATGAATCAATTACCCATGCTTTCAAGAAGTGCCGTATATCAAACAGTATGAATGGAAGGGAAGACATTGACATTTTATTTCTTTGAATTAATGCAGTTTGATCAATATTACTATCTCTTCGTGTCACATATCAGTAAAATATGAGGTGCTATTGGAAGGTTCCTGGACTACGTCAAAAAAGAAATGCTGGCTTAACTTACTCAATTTGGCTGACACCTCCTTCAAAATATTCTCCTTGGGAACGTATACAGCTATCCCTTCATTTTTTTCCCCAAGCTTCAAAAGCACCGTGGAAGTCATTTTCCTTAATGGTGTCGAGTACCATTTGCGATTCCCTTTGGATGTCAGAAACTGTTTCAAAATGTCGTCCCTTCAATTTCATTTTCAAATTGGGAAAGAAAGTGGGCTAAGTCAGGCAATTAGGGAGGATGGAGAACGACAACCATGTTGTCATTAGTCACAAACTCCGTGGTTTTCAGGGACGTGCAGGTGGGGGTATTGTCATGATGATGGAGCCAGTTGTGGTTGTGCCGAAGTTCAAGTCTCTTTTGTTGCACATTTTCTCTCAAACATCTCAGAATGTCACAGTAAGTCAGACATGACCATACTATTAGGACAAACAAATTCATGGTGAACAATCCCCTCCACATAGAAAAAAACAATGAGCATGCTATTTGCTGAACTCCGGTTTTGCTCTTGGTGATTGTGGGCTCTTCCACTGTGATGATTGTTGCTTTCTTTCGGGATCATTACCACAATCCCAACTTCTGTCATCTGTTATAATCCTTGAGATAAAAGATGGGTCCTCGTTAGGCTTCTCTTGTAGCGCAACACACAAGTTTATGGACCGCTGCTTCAGATCATCTGTCAAGAGTCAGGGAACAAACTTTGCAGTAATGAGGTGCACATTCAAATTTTCTGTTAAGATCTCCTGGGAAACTCTGTAACTGATCCAAGCAGTGTCTGTGAGCCCATGAATTGTTCAGTGACGATCTTTGTGGATGAGTTCTCGAATTTTTTCAACATTTTCTGTTGTTTTGCTGGTACTTGGTCATCCTGAACATTCATCATCTTCAACTGACACTCGACCGGCCTTGAAACGTGAATGCCACTCAAAAACCAACGTCCAGCTTAAAGAATGTTCTCCAAAAGCCCCATGAAGCATTTTAAAGGATTTGGTAGTGGATTTACTGAGCTTCACCCAAAACTTGATACTGACACATTGCTCAATTTTGCCATCCATCACAGACAAAATGAAATATGAAGTAGAAGAGCACTCACATAAAAACAATGCATGTTCACAGCATGGTGTCATGTGGCAGACTGATGTAATAGGTTTGCGGAAGTGTCATATTGGCCTCCCCCCTCAACTTCTTTCACAGAGGCAGTTACAACAATAACAGTCCTGAAACTTACTGACAGCACCTCGTATATTGTTAACATAATAGTATCCACTTATATTTTAACACTCTTTCATTCATTTAATTCCAGAACACTGAATAGAGATCCTCTGTGAAATGCAAACCTAGTCACTAATACTGATGCAGGTATGTTTTTCTGAAAATTTAAATTTAAAATTTTGAGTTTCTCATACATAGGGTTGTTGTATACATGGGTAAATATGGTAAATTACTGATGCTACGAAATAAATCTGAAGTAAATTCCCTCACATAGCGAGACCTAGGCTGAGAACATGTTGAAAATGGAAACTGATGTAATTATATCGTCACGTGTATTAGTGGTCAGAGACAGGGTTTGGATTGGTAATTTGTTTATTCGATCTTCATTAGCCATAACTACACTTAATTATTATGTTATTACAGGTTTACACAATTTACAATCATTACATGCTAATCTTCTCAGTCTATCTGCAGTAGTTTTCACGTATTTATAATACAGGAGCTATAAAAGTCTCACTGAATTACACACTCCCAATCCCACTGCACTAAAGCACACATAAAGTCTTGAAATCACATTTTAGATCCTCACAAGCCAACCTCCTGTATTCTTTTGTAATCCTGGTTCCAATTTGCTCCATTTACATGCTTCCACCCTTACAGCTCTGTCACACTCACTATCATTTCTAGTTCCAACGTGATCTCTTCTCATCATTCCAGTGCTTCTATTTCCCTCTCGTATCTGCTCTCAACTAAACTTTGTCACTCACTTATATAGGCGAGGGACAGCCAACGCATCATCGTAAACATGTCATGTGATGTCACCGCACACGTGCGAGCTGACAGATGTGCTGGAAACATGTCACATGACAGCCACGTACTGTTGTGTGATGTCATAGTGCACACGTTGCATAGCAACAGTCCATCCAGGGACATAGAAAACACTGTTCCTGTACTATTGGCTGTGTGTGTTGTGGGCGTTGTCTAGCAACGGGTCTACATGCCACATTATAAAATGCTATAAACCTGTATTTCTAACAGCAAATGGTACACGCAAAACTATTATAAATGTTGCAAGATACACAATGAACATCTGCACCATGTCTGCAATCTGCTGAAATGTAATGTGTCCAGATGAGGCAAGTAAGCAGGCTGTGAAGGTGTATTAGGATAAGAAACTGGCTTTCACTTTTGAGATAACTGTATTCTAAAAAATATAATATAATACTACAAAGTTCTCATTAGTGTTGGCCAAAACTAGACACAATCACAGACTGATGCTGCCTTTCTTTCACTTCATTGGCTATATGCATCTCTACAGATAGTTCAGTCTTGGTTGGTACTTAGCATACCTGTTCCTGCACATTGCGGAAGTCAACTCGATTGAGGTCAACCAGCATCTGGTCTATCTGTGAGGAGTTCTGAAGGACAGCGCGTGCAGCTTGAGCCAGATGGTTTAATGAGGTGTAGCGTCGTAAAGTCTGTGCCAAGGCGCCCACAGCTGACACTTTGATGTGCATCATTTCCTCAGGACAGTCTGTCATGGCACCTGTTAACCACGATTCCAGTCCCTTTGCAAAGTTGCGAATTGCTTGTGTTAATGAACCTGGGGAAAACATAAAAGTATTGAAGTACTGCTTTAATTAATATCTTTATGTCAAAATGTATACAGCTGAGCCATGACAGGAGTGACATTTTATAACAAGAACTTTGATCATAACATGAAAAAGATTTTGTACCAACAGTTTCTTAATGTTACATACATGGAAAAATCTCACAGAAAATGACAATTTTTTTTCGCCACTTTCAGGATGGGTCATCATGCCTTAAAATGGATCACAACCATTACTTCCTGCCAATACATCAGTCAATAATTCAGTATTACATAAGGAGCAAGTACATACTCCAAGACATTGTTTATAGATTTATACAGAAAGCAATTACACAGCAAAGGATTTATGTTTACCATTCACACAAGGCTATTATTGCTTCCAAGACTACATATCAGCACCACTGATGTTACATAAGAACAAATAATAAGTAATACCATCTATTGGGATGTGATACCATATACTCCAGTATACGTAGCATGTCCACAAAGTAAGTTTCCCACTCGTCCCACAGCTAGCAAACCTTATATTGCGCGAAGCGACTGCGCATACATGATAGAGCAATGATGTAGCATGCCGCATGCACTAACGGAATTTCCCGCGTTCCCACACTAGCATCGTTGCAGCTGTTGAAGATGGAGGCTCTTATTCAATCTCCCGCCGACTGTGAAGTGCGGACAGTGATAAAGTTTTTGAATGCACAGAGCATAGCGCCGATCAAAATTCATCATCAGCTGTGCCGGGTCTATGGGCCTAACATCATGAGCAAGCAGATGGTGCATCGCTGGTGTAGACAGTTTCCAGCAGGTCGACAAAGTGTGAATGATGACAAGCACAGTGTGAGACGACCTGGTGGAGCTTGTGCGGGAACACATTATGGAGAATCGTCGCGTCACAATTACAGAACTCAGCAGTCATGTCCTGCAGATTTCTCACTCCTTGTTGCACAAAACTGCCACGGAGCACCTGTTGTTCAGGAAATTTTGCGCCAGGTGGGTGCCAAAGCAACTGACACCAGAACACAAACAAAGCACATGGAGTCAGCATTGATATTTCTGCAGGGGTACCATGATGACGGCGACGAGTTTCTGGACTGGATCATCACAGGTGATGAAACGTGGATTGCACACATTACTCCAGAAACCAAGCAGCAGTCAATGAATTGGCATCACAGTGGATCTCCCTGTAAGACGAAATTCAAGCAGACGTCGGCGCGGAAAGTGACGTGCACAGTATTCTGGGACAGACAGGGCATTCTCCACGTCAACTTCCTGACCAGAGGTGAGACGGTGAATGCTGAGCGTTACTGTGAAACACTGCAGAAATTGTGACGGGCCATTCAGAACAAGCGGCACGGGATGCTTAGTGCCGGTATTCTAGGCCGCACACAGCTTGATGGACAGCAAGTCTCCTGCAGGAGTTCACCTGGGAGGTGTTTAATCATCCACCCTACAGCCCGGACCCTGGCCTCGCTCCCAGTGATTTCCATCTTTTCCTACACCTCAAGAAATTCCTGTCCGGTGAGTGTCAGCGTTTTGAGAATGATAGAGAGGCGGAGATGGTTGTCACACAGTGGTTCCAATCCCAGGCAGCAGACTTCTATGACACAGGTATTCAAAAGTTGGCCCCACGGTATGATAAATGTCTCAATTCCAGTGGCGATTATGTTGAAAAATACCTGAACACTTGCTGTATCTGTTGCAATAAATATTTCCATGAAATTGTGTTTTGTTTCTGTAAACAGCCCCAGGGAAACTTACTTTGTGGATGAGCCTCATATGTTTATGGACATTTTAGAGAATGTACTGCCTTTATCTTCAGGGCCTAAGAGTGAGCCAAGCAAGCAAAGCATATTCCTCTGATACACCAGTAAACCATAAGGCATCATATCTCGGAAAATAGCACTTTTCATAGTCACCACTGTGAGAATCGCACAAGATTAGATCAGTCTGATAATGAAGCAGTGTTGTAGTAGCTGAAGTAGTCTTTGTTGTGCCAGTTAGTACTGATCTGAATAAAAAAGTTCACTCTTATTGTGCTGCTTCTGTGATCTGTTTCACTGATTCTCTAGGAAGATGACAGACTGGCTTTAATTTATTCTAGCTGTAATATTTAGGTTTATTTAGTTATGCGATTCCTAGCTAACTATGATTTATTTTCTGCAACTTTCTGAACAAACAAACTGCAGGTTTGTTTCTTAAGCTATTTACAGCTGGCAGACTGTAACTAATCTTCAAGCAAAAAGAAACAGTCTTATAAATGGAATAGTGAAAGGCTGAACATTATACGATGGGGTACCCAAAAGAAACCAAACTAATTTTTTTGTGGGCAGAGCTTTTGTAGTACCGCATTTTGCCGCTATGAGCGCATAAAGCTAACATTCCTGAGTCGATAAGCCGACTACCATTGCTTCAGAAGGTAAGGACTAGTTTCGGCAGAGTTTATAGTGACAACTGTTTTGTGTGATCGTCATTTTTGCAATGGCCCGAACACATGAAAATGTTGAAAAAATTCGTGAAATCATCAAGGAAGATCGACAACGGACCATTGAAGAAACTGTGGAGCTGTCGGGAGTGACTTTGAGCTCAGTTCAGCAAATTTTGACAGAAGATTTGGGAATGAAAAGAGTGGCTGCGAAACTCGTGCCACGACTGCTGACTGCCGAACAAAAACAAGGTCGTGTGGAAGCATGCTGTGCTTTGAAAGAAGAGTCCCGAAATGATCAAAACTTTTTTTCAGCGTTTTGCTGATGTTGCTGAGGTGAAGGAAAAAAACGACGGAGGCGCTGTCAAGCATCTCAAAAGATGAATTTAGACAATGTTTTGAAAAATGGAATAAAAGACTAGACAAGTGTATTAGTGTAAGTGGAGAGTACTTTGAAAGGGATTGAAGGTTTGTGCTTAAAATCTGCATAAGTTAAAAAAAATAAGTTCGGTTTCTTTTGGGTACCTCCTCGTAAATGTTTCATTATCCTTACTTGGAATTGGCCTAAGAACATCTGGAATGAGGACTTCGACTAGATTCTGATAAAACAGGTAATCCACACGCCGGACAAACTGTTGAACTGGCCCACACTTGCATAAAAGATACAGCTTTGTTCTGAAACAAACAACAACATTTTACCATAAAGACTGCTGATAATAACCCTATAGCTGTTTCCAGCAAGACATCCTGTACACTGCCGTGGTCTCCATGTGATATCTCACTGAGGTATGAGTATGTATTCTATGTATGGCATTTCTGCTGAACTACATGACCAAGTTCTCATGTACTGCATATAAAAATATTTACAAATGATCAGCCAATTGTTTTATTGCACCCACTAATTTAATGAAAACAATTAAGTGAAGTGAAGAAAAATCACATTTTTTACACTTTTGGAACCTGATGGAAACATCTCAAGTGTACAAGGAAAACAGCAGCATGTAAAGTTTCACAAAAAATTGCAGAACTGAGGGAAAATGTTGGGAATGGAACTGCAAAATTAAACAAATCAGTACACTTGAGTAAAATCACACTCTTATTTGTAAGGTCACCTTGAAGACTCCCAGATCACAAAGGAGAGAGTCATGCTTTTTGTCTCATAACTAAATTTGAAGCAACTAATTAACCCTAATCAATTATTTATTTTAAGGACAAATTTACTGGGAAATACTTACCTCATGCATAAACCCAGTGTACTGAATATGAGGTTTTTGCAATGAAAAATACAACAGCTTCATCAATACCATATCATCAGTACCTGCTGTACATACTGAGTGAATCTACTCCAGCAAATACAGAGAAAATTTTGTGAAATAGTCACATTTATGAAAATGAGTACACCGATGTCACCATTTAACACTTCTGCCCTTGTATCCAAGGTCAGACTTTTACTGGTGATTTGTCCAGACTGCCATACCTAATCACAGTCAGCTAGTAACATGCCTGTGACAAGACAAAATATTTCTTTTCCAGAATGCACTTTGAGCACATAGTTCTTCTTTCTGTTGTGAGATGGTGCATACAACCTTCTGTAATTCCTGGGATGCACCTACATTTTTTTGCTATTTACTTCCTTACCAGAACACTAGTATACTGCTAAAAATTGGCTAGGCTGGAAGGTAGGCCTGAAGCAGAATTACTAGGAGTGAAAACAATCAGAACTCTCAGGACCACAATGGATTCCAACATTAAATTCTGGAAAACATGTAATGGAAGTAATTCAATTAAAAGATAATGGCAATGGAGACACTGAGGTTAAACATTGAATGTCGGAAAACTGAAATAAGGAGCATTAACTGGGGTTTCACAGTATCTCGATCATACATTTTCACTGGCTAAGCTGAAATATATATTACTTACTATTCTTGTGATTCATATACTTTCTTCATAAACTCAAGATATCAAGATGGTACAGAAACATGGATTTGAAGCAGCATTACCCCCAACTTTTGCATAGCTACATATGAATGTACAGGGACAGGGGCAAGTAGGCAGGCGAGTGTGCGCGTACACGCATGCACACATAAGGCAGTGGGAGGGAGGAAGGTGGCACATTGATAAATATAACATTCTACTTACTATAGGATTCTGACGATGGTGTATAACACACTGATATATTGGGTTTTTGGACTTCATCCATCGTCCTCGTTTTTAAGATAACTAATAAAAACACGACGTTTCGGAAACTAGCCTCAATCACTGGACCAGTGGGTCCAGTGATTGAGGCTAGCTCTTTCTAACAGACCCAACAGAATAGGTGTTTTCCTTCACCTGAGGACGGAAACAGATCCAGTTTCCGAAACGTCTTGTTTTTATTAGTTATCTTAAAAACCAGGACGATGGATGAAGTCCAAAAACCCAATATATCAGCACATTCTACTTGTATGGCAGAAAACTTAAATTAATTAATCTTCAACATCTTGAAAAGAGCAATTCAGCTCCATGTACTGCACCTACTAAAATATATTTTACCATTCACTGTCTACCGCAGAAATATGAACTGCACGGTACTTTAGAACATAAGAGCTAAATTTATTGCATATTTAACTCTATACAAGGGCAAAACTGAAAAATCTAAACATACTTGGACAAGTACTTCTCCTCTTCACATTCATCACCGTTGTTGTTGTCCTGGCTTCGCCAGAATTCTCTCCACAAGCTCTCAACAGTCTGGAATTCCAGGTTCACAACCGCATCCAGGAATGCCTGTATAATGTACTAGAAATTTATATAATGCACTAGGTACCAGAAGAGAAATGTGAAACTTACAAAAGGAATAAAAAATAAAAGATTAATATAAAAATGTTTGTTAAAATCTTCAAAGGAAGAGAAGGTTTGTGTCCGTCAAATATATTATCAAGGGTATAAATGTATAATACAGTATTTAATGTCTGAAAGCAGGGATGCATAAATTAGGTAGCTGTCATGTCTTGTGCAGCTCACTGTCTGCAACTCATGTTGCATATCACCCCTCACTCCAGCAGTCACCAAAATCTTAAAGTTATTAAAAAGAAAATGTTTGTAAATTTTAGGAATATACTGTTTAAGAACAACTTTTCTCTCAAAGAAAATACTAATTTTTCCCACTGCCAAATGTTCAGAAGGGTTGTAAATTTTGCATATGCATTATTGTCATAATTTTCATAGCACCATGCAGAGCGTTAAGTGGTTATCAAAATTCTTTTAAAATGGAGACAGAGGGCTCCTCTAAAAGACCGGTAATAATGTTCTGCCCGGAAGATTGCAATGAGAATATTCACTACTGTGAAAACCTCAAATTTCATGTCTACTGTCTGTGAAGACCAAGTATAAGAACCTGTTCCTAAAGATTAAGTGCAGTATTCTGCTGTGGCTTGAAGAGTCTGTCAGCCTATCTTGCATGAAGTGTCATGTTTGTGTGGTTATGGTTAAGAAAAGAAACATTTCAGATTCATTCACATCAGGAAGTGGGGAAAGCCCATTACTGAGTGTCAGTACTAGTAATATTATTGGTTTTCCCCCACCAAGAGCAATTTGATAATAAAAAATACAAAAACAATTACTGGATTTGAGATGTTATTTTTAGGTGGTGCCTTACAAATTTTCTTTCTGCGAGGACATCCTGTAAATTCAGGGAGGGCATTGTTCTATCTTGTGTTGTGAGCCTGGTTGTGACTGTTGCTTCTTCATCTTCTTCTTCTTCCTCCTCCTCCTCCTCCTCACTGTTAAGTTGGCAACAGATGTGGTTCTGATTCCTCCCGTACCTGTCTTTACTCTTCCAACATTTGCTTTCCTCTGTCCTCTGGGTAATTCTCTCTGCCACTTTCCAAATACACTTCAACTTATTCTGGCCAGACTCTCTTGTTCAAAGCATGTTCAAGCATGATCAACCACACACTGAGAAAAATATGATTCTCCATAGGTCTATGACAATGATTAATTGATTACACCACTATTAAGTTAGACATTTTCTATGGCCACTGAGGTATATCTGATACAACATTGTGGGAGTTGGTTCTATTCCTGTTTTCAGGTCAAAAGTTCTCATTATACTGACACATCTGTTACTACTTTTCTATATCAACAGAAACATCAGTTTCAACTGAAGCTTGAACATTCTGGATACTAGGTTCATGGCTCTTGTAGCTGTCAACAATGGGTGAATAGCAGTCTGCCTACTATGTCAACATTCTCAAGTGGCCTCCGTAGTCTGGGGGTAACGTTCCCACCTCATGACTCATGGTATGCGGGTTCAAACCTGGCGGAGGTTGTGGAATTTTTAAGGGCAGAAAAATTCAGGGAACAAGTCCTCTGGGAGGGACTTTAAGCCATGTGTCCTGTGTCATAGATTTACGGCACATAAAAGATCCTCATGTCTCTAGGAGACCTCAGAGCTAAATTAGGCAACCATTTCCGCCCAAGTAGTTTCCAATGCCTCTGGTAGAGGGGGGAAATATCAGGTACCGACGGCCGACCTCGTTGGCTGATCGGGGCTGATAGCACGCACCTGTACTGGTAGGGTATGGCAACAGTAGAAATTAAAGGGGGACGCACAATGGACCAATAACTGGTCTAAGTGCATGGGGAAACCCACCCCCTCTAATAATAATAATAATAAAATGTCAACATTCTCACTGGGAAACACATTTACTTCTCATGTAGATATCTGTGACTTCAATATAAGCATGATTATTTATTTTATGTTATTGGTTCGAAGGCAATGAACCCCCACCACTATGTAGGGCTGTTCCTGAGAGTATTCAGAATTGTTTATTATGTCTGACTGCATTAGCTACAGAGATCTCCTCCCAATGATGCAAAATGTAGCACTCCTGAGGTAGAACAACTGTAATAAAGCCCTTAGAGTTTTGAGGTCATGTACTGACCCACACTATCTTAAACCTCAAAAACACTAATGGTATAGTAGAATACAATGTCATCTAAAACAAATTTATTCATAAACAAAATAGGAATTACCTCACAATGTTCTCTGTAGATACTACGAAATGTGTCCACATCTTCCAATGTGCAGTCCTCAGGTAAGGCAAGTCCTGGAGGAAAGTCTATATCTGGAAAGTCAGGTATTGCCCCTGATCCATCACCTAGGTACTGGTGGTGATGAGGATGCTGTAAAAAATTTTAAGTTAAGTATATTTGGGTAGCTTGTTAACAGATGATGGAAGGTGTACTAGTGAAATTAAATCCAGGATTGCCATGGCAAAAGCTGCATTTAGCAAGAAGAAGAATCTTTTTACCAGCAAATTGGACTTAAATTTGAGGAAGAAACTAGTGAAATGCTACATTTGGAGCATAGCTCTGTATGGGGCTGAAACATGGACACTTAGGGCAGTAGATCAGAAACATCTGGAAAGTTTCGAAATGTGGTGTTGGAGAAGAATGGAGAAGATCAGTTGGACCGATTATGTGAGAAATGAAGAAGTGTTAATTAGAGTCAGTGAGCAGAGGAATATCCTACATGAAATAAGAAAACGGAAGGCTAATTGGATTGGTCATGTTTTACGCAGAAACTGCCTTCTAAAAGAAGCTATCGAAGGAAAGATAGATGGGCGGATAGAAGTGACAAGAAGACGAGGAAGAAGATGTAAGAAGATGCTGGATGACCTTGGGGACAGAAGAGGATACTGTCATTTGAAGGAGAAAGCTCTAGATCGCATTAAGTGGAGGAAGTGTTTTGGAAGAGACTGTGGACCTGTCGTCTTGACAGATTACTGATGATGATGATGATGATGATATATACACACACACACATATAGTAAGATATTATTAATTTAATATCAGATGATTCAAAATTCTGTGTAATTCAATGAAACTGCCAATCCCTGTAGGGCAAGTTAAGCCTTTATGTGCTTCTTAAATACAGACAACTACAAACTTCATTAATTTGTAATCTGAAGCAGTAACTGAGCCAAGCAAGTAATTGAAATTATACACACGTAGTAATGAATTTGATTTGTTTCATTCTGGTCCGTCGCACTAATATTATGAAAAAGTTAAACAGTTCTGTTCAGTGTGACTGGTTAAGATTTTCTTATTTCAATTATTCATGCCCTTACATGTTTCGGTCTTCAGAGGCCATCTTCAGAGGGACACCCTTACATCAATACAGTTAGAAGCCATTATTACAATACATGTTCTAAAAGTTAAAATACAGTAAAACTTGGTTATAGCAACATCGGTTTCTGCGACACCTTGTCTATTGCGTCAAATATTCAATGGTACGAATTAATTCCTCATAAAGCAACTGTTTTTATACCTTGCTTAGTACGACATGCACAAATGCATCAACCTCGTATGTAACGTCATTTTCATTCCTGAATTTCTCTGATATCGTGGGAAAGTTCGATGTGTCTGCCCACCCTCAATTTCTCTACTTGCTGACGTGACTGTCCTGGAAGAATACGACCGCGGGCTGCAAGAGGAGCGTGGGTTTTATGCGAAAACAAGGGTGTGGAGTGGAACTGCGTGAATAGTGCAAGAGGACCTGGCAGGTTAACTGCATTCCTTTCCTAGAATCTCATCTAACAGGACCTCACATTGTCTACTTACCCTATAGTGTTCCTGCCTAAACCCAGAGAAGTGCAGTAGCGAAAACATGGCAATGAAAAGGAAAGTTTTAAGCATTGAAGAGAAAGTTAAAGTGATTCGTGAAATAGAAAATGGAAGGAAAAAAGCTTATGTATGCCGCGAATTTGGTTTGGTGAATTCTACAGTACAAACGATATGGAGAATCCATATTAATTCCACGTTAATGTTACGTTAGTCTGTACTTAACTACGTATTTCTCTAAGAAATGCAACATTTTAACTCGGTTTTTGGTAGATTTTTACGTGACTAACATCAGGCTACTGTGGAAGTGCCCATTTCAGTTACAATAACATTCGTTTATAATGACACTATTTTTAGGTCCCTTTGATGATGTTATAACCAAGTTCTACTGTATATACATGCAATGTAAATAATATACAACTGGATATGAAGACTTTAGATTTTACAGCCAACTGTATATTATTTATATTGTATGTATATATTTTAACTTTTAGAACATGTACCGTAATAGTGGCTTCTAACTGTATTGTTGTAAAGGTGTCCCTCTGAAGATGGTCTCTGAAGACTGAACTTGTAAGGGCACGAATAAGTGAAATAAAAAAATCTTAACCAGTCACACTGGACAGAACTGTTTAACTTTTTCATCTAGTAATGAGTGTGTAATTTCTGGATAGTTTGTGTACCCTTATGTTGTTCCCTGTAGTATAATCTGTGTTATTTTTCTTAATGATTACTATTAAAGTGAAGGAAGCACGTGCAACATATGTAAATCTAGTACTACAAGGAAATATTATGAAAATATGGGAGCAGAACACAAAATAATCTAAAAGTCAATATTTGGGGGGGGGGATGAAATTACTAAAGCATGCGGAATTCCAAAGTCAATACTGTCAACATACCAACAAATTCAGATGTGATTCAAAACAAACTTTTCGTAAATGGATTTGTTATATTCAGGCAAATACAGTATTTTGTTAGCCCCTGTGACCTCTCCCAACTTCACAATACTGGGAACAACTGAGCTTGGTCATGCACCTGTGGTGATGAATTGGAATGATTAGAGTTGGCTGAATGGTTGGTATTTTGCTCATACTGGTTTTCTATTTTCTGAGCACCATTCCCACTTCCACCTGAGCCAGATAGGAATTTGTAGCGTTTCTGTGATGATGACTGTTGGCGAACGGCTGAGCTCCCATCTTCTGACAGCTGATTTAATGCTGATCCAGGAATTACACGGATGCCATAATAATGATATTTGGAATTACCCCTGCAACAGCAAGGATTAAACATACAGACCACTCCCATAGTCAGCTATATGTCTGCACATTAACATGCCCAGTCTCTGAAAGCAGATGGTACAAAGTTTTAATAGAAATACAGAAGACATAATATCTGTAATGCTTATTGGCTAATTCACAAATTATTATTATTATTATTATTATTATTATTAATTAAAATTATTAAGTATTTTTCACTATTAAATAATATAATTATATTGGAAAGCTTCAAGTAAAATAGAGGTTACACTGAATTGATAAGGATATAAATTAAATTCTCCTTGCAACCTTTAGTACTGATTCTAAAGACCAGTTTCATAGAAATTTGTAGACAAAACATGCAGACTGAGACACAACCTTCTCAATATGGATTTATGAATCATGAATCATGAGCACATAACAAACAAGAAGACGACTTTCTTCACAGTCATCGCCGTGAAAACCTCAAAACTTACAAGAAGATACTTGCCTTGTACCAAGTCTTCTGGTTCTCAGGCCAAGAAAAACAGAACGGATGAGCTTCCCAAATGATGCTGCATTAACAGGATCTAATTTGTTTTCGTTGCAATGACGGAGGTAATGGTTGTACAGTGTAGAACGAGGAAGGCTCACACCCTCAGCTACTTCATAGTTTTGCATCAACCATTGAACCTGTATCCACACAGCAACAGGAGACATATTACACTGAACACACAACACAAAGACAAATTACGAATGTTCCTAGTCTGTAATACACTATTTAAAAATGGAGGTATGAAGGTTACTTACATGAGACAAAGAGCCCGAAGTCATACTAATATTCACAAGGACAAGATAGTAGTAATTCCTTCTGCCAATTTTATTTTATGTGAACTTTCTCTACACCTCCACGCACTCATGTGTGTGAGCTCAAGTGATAACACATTATTTCAGTGGCTGAAAGGCTAATATCTCAGTTCACACAGTTTTCATCTTATCAGGTGAAAATTAATAACTCTCTGATCTCTCCTAGGTGTGAATTTTCATCACAATGCTACTATACGGTGTGTGCTGAGATCAGGGATATTGAACTCTAAGTTGCATGTCAAAACTTCAGTTCTGCATACTCACCTTCAAATAACAACACATAAGTTAATGTTTGTTAGTAACTATTCTTACAAAAATTTTTTTTGAAACAAAATTTTGAATGACCATAAATTTTTTGGTGTGCTTAATGACTGTCATCATTGTTTGAGACACTTCCAGAAGTGAACACAGATTTTGGTTTAAATGCCTCAGGTTATAACTGTAACAGATGATCGCAACTTTCTAAAAATATATATAATTTTTATCAAGCAGTTCTTAGAAATACTCACAAAGAGAAGTAGAACTGGGAGTGTTCTCAAGTGTATCTAAATAACTGGTTGTTACTATGTTAAGAAAGTATGCCATATCATTCACAGATGCATCTTGTATCCTTCCTAGCAGGGAAGAACTTGAAAAGTTCTTACAAAGCTATCCTTCTGCTGTTCTTGTTCTTGCAATGTATGAGGGCTACTGATTTCGTTTATTCTGAATAGTAGACACACTGTGTAATGGATGAAACTACAGATTGTGAGTGCACTGAGTTCCATGTAGAACATGGTTAAGGCAGCTACGAAAACTATATTATATTTAAATATCCTGTTACATTCCACATTTCTGTATGTATAAAACAAATTCCTTCATAAATGCAACACTTTATTGTAGTTCTTGTCCCCCTTCTTTCATACTACATGTTTCGGCCGCAACTGGCCATCATCAGGTGTATCTTACTTCACGTAGCTGTCACACTGCACTCAATATTAACATTTAAACTCCAGATTTCCAATTGTTCATTGCTCTGTCGTCAATCCGCACCCAATATTCCAGAACTCCCCTTGTCAGTTTTGTCAATTATGTTTAAATTTTTTTTATTAATATTGACTCGTCGATTGGTTTAAAATTTTAAATTCTCAATTTAGCTTTAATATTTAAAATTTAAATTTAAATTTAAAATAAAAAATCACAGATACCTGCTCTATGCTTATATGTGCTGCAGCAGCTACCTCTTGCTTTCGGCACAGCTCAAATGTTATTTTGTGCAGGCTCTCTGTGTGCGTGCCATTGTTTTTCTTCAATACATAGCTGCAGCACATATAAGCATAGAGCAGGTATCTCTGTGATCTTTTATTTTAAATTTAAATTTTAAATATTAAAGCTAAATTGAGAATCTAAAATTTTAAACTGATCCATGAGTCAATATTAATGAAGATTTTAAACATAACTGACAAAACCAACAAGGGGAGTTCTGGAATATTGGGTGCCAATTGACGACAGAGCAATGAACAACTGGAAATCTGGAGTTTAAGTGTTAATATTGAGTGCAGTGTGACAGCTATGTGAAGTAAAATACACCTGATGATGGCTGGTTGCGGCCAAAACATGCAAATGAAAGAAGGGGGACAAGAACTACAATAAAGTGTTGCATTTACGATGAAGTTTGTATTATACATATAGAAGCTATGAAAAATGTCAGTGATTTTATTGTGAAGTGACTATATGTCACAGCGCACTCAGACTGGTTGGGATCAGTGGAGGGGGAAGTCAGCTTATGAACACGCGGTCGCTTTTTCGTCTTCAAACTTCCTGAGAGTGATGAAAGGCTTTTCCGTGAAACTCGTTTTTGTCTCCCGTGCAAGCCGCAATGCAGCGCTCCTTGGAACAAAGGATTGCCATCAAGTTTTGTGTGAAACTTGGCAAGTCTGCAATGGAAACTTTTCCCATGATAAAGACGGCCTTCGGTGACGACTGTTTGTCGGAACGTCAGGTCTACCGGTGGCACAAGGCCTTTTTAGAAGGCCGTGAAGAGGTCGGCAATGAAGCCCACGCTGGACAGCCATCAACAAGCACCACCGACGAAAATGTGATGCGTGTGAGAGAACTTTTGAACTCAGACCATCGTTTGAGTGTTCGTTTAATGGCACAGACATTAAACATTCCAAAAAGTACCGTTCACGAGATTGTGACGAACAATTTGCAGATGCGAAAAGTGTGCGCAAAGCCGGTGCCCAAAGTGTTAACGGACAACCAAAAATCGCGCAGAGTTGAAATGTGCCAAGAACTTTTGGACTTGTGTGAAAATGACCCTCACTTTTTAGACAATGTCATCACAGGTGACGAGACCTGGGTGTTTGAGTATGACCCCGAAACAAAAAAGCAAAGTGCCGAGTGGCACACCTCGGCATCCCCTCGCCCCAAGAAGGCCAGAATGAGCAAGTCAAAGGTTAAGGTCATGCTCATTGTGTTCTTTGACATTAGGGGGCTCGTCCACCACGAGTTTGTACCACATGGTACAACCATCAACGCCAAATTCTACGTGGAAGTGCTAAAGAGACTCAAACGAAGGGTTTATCGCATCCAGCCCGACATCGTGGACGATTGGAAACTTCACCATGACAATGCGCCAGCCCATACCACCTTCGTCTTGACCCGCTTCCTGACCGATTCAAAGGTGCCAACGGTTCCCCAGCCGCCCTACAGTCCTGACGTGGCTCCCCCACACTTCTTTTTGTTTCCGCGCTTGAAAACTCCCATGAAAGGGCATCATTTTGGGACAGTTGACGAAGTCAAAGAGGCTTGCATCAAGGCTCTAAAGGACATTCCGGAGGAGGCCTACCATGACGCCTTCGATGCCTGGAAATCTCGCTGGAAGCGATGTATCGACACAGAAGGAGCCTAGTTTGAAGCCTTTTAATGTGCTGTACCGATCTAATCAATAAATGTTTTTTAATCGACTCACTGACATTACTTTTCAGACAAACCCTGTAAATCTGCACTTGTACAAGAAGCTCTGACATAACCTAAAATATGAGTGATTTGGCTGATTCAAGATACCAGACTTTCTGTCCAACATGATCCAGCTCCTTACCAAACATCAATAAGCTTAGTGAAGGTAGAATCATTCATATTCACGACAAAATATGTGGTGACAGGCACATAATCAGTGAATTTAATTGGATGTTCTGATACACCTATGAAGTTCAATGTAAATAGCATGAAAAATGAAAGATAGGTTTGTGAATGTTGCATTACGGCAATGCACCAGCTTACTCTTCACACTTCGCAAGAGAATTCATGACCAAGCACAATGTTTCACTGGTTCTCCACACACACTTTTTTACTAGATTTGGAACCTAATGACTTTTCATCACTCATAAAATTTAAAAGTGCCCAAATCAAAAAATTATTTCATCAAGTGCCACAAATCATGCAAAGTGCAATACAAGAACTGAACAACAATCTCAAAGAACAGTACCAGAAGTGCTTCAACAAGCAGCAGAACTTGAGACGTGGAGCAAACAATTTCAGAAAAGTTTCCATCTGTCCTGGGTTCATGCAGAAGAGAAAATAAATAACACCCATAACAAGAAGACATTTAACAGTTGTGGTTTTCAAGCTTTTGTGCCACAACTTCAACTATTAAAATTATTTTTGGAGAATCAGTTACCTTCTGCCCTTCAAATGCTTTTTAGGGGAAAAAATTGATAATCTGATAGTGTGAAATTACAGCTGTAGATTGGAGGCATATAATCTTCCTAAATGCCATCTCTTACACCTGCCTGGAGTCACAACAGGATATACAGCAGGTTTTAATAATGCTGCATGACTGGCAGAGGTTATTTCTCAATGAATGATGCAAGAATATACAATGGTCTTGAAAGGATTGGAAAGGAAGTGGTCATGGCCTGTTTCATCATGCAATCCAAGAATTTCTTTGAAGGACTGAGCAAGTCAGGACAGTCACTGTTTTGCCTGAGATTTGGAAATGGGATGTCACAATTACATGTTAGAACTGTTACTAATCAGCTAGCATGCTTGGCTGGCAGTCAGTGAATATGGTACTATTTACATGCAGTGGCTACACACATTCTGAAACACAGATATTCTTGGGCTTCTTAGTACTGTGAGACTCAAAGAGTTCTTCCCACACCATCATCTCTCTGCCAATGAGTCTCTATTCATAACTGAAGACATACTTAGTTCTGATTACCAACTATAGAGACTGGGCCCACAGCTACAACTTGCTGATGACACTGAAGTGAATGCACTGAACTGTGGCTACAATACCATTCCACAGAATTCTTTGCTGTACAGTTTGTAGAGATGGGGCAAATGCATCATTGTAAGAAGGGATTACATTAAGAAAATGACAAAATCTGTGCCGTATATGTTGCATTCTTCATTATGCCTTCACTTACATCACATATTTAAGTATTTAAGTACTTCACACACACATATACACAAAGGCAAAGCTATAAATTGCAAACTGAAAACAATGATGCAATTAATATGAAAGACATATATAAACATACAGCAAACATGCAACAGAAAGTGGGGTGCTGACAGGTGACAAATGCAATTGTCATTTCAAGAGAATAACTGGAGGATGCAAGTTTGGTTATGAACTGCCAGGCCACTGCCAACTATACTAGGCAGTGATAGCCTCAACCTGTATCTCTAAAAACATTATTACTTCAAAATGCCACTTTATATATTCAAGTATATAATGATCTCAACCATTTTTCAGAAAATAATTTTCTTCTTCCTTGTTGTGAATAAAGTTCAACATGGTCATTTTTCACATTAATTCATATGTGTCAACAAAGTGATATCTCAATGTTTCATACAACTGAGCAAGAAGAATGTGATTTTCAAACAAGATGGGACTCTTCCCTATATACTATTACTGTGCAAGTTTATCTGAACTTAATACTTCCAAATCACTGGACAGATCGAGCAGCATGCAGAATGTGAACCTATAAAACCTCTGTCACAATGCTGCAAAGCTTCTATTCTGTGACTTTCTGGCAACAAGGTATACTTACTGTACACTTGCATGATAAAAACGTTACATTTTTATAAAACAAACGTGATCCAATCAGAAACACAAATTAATTACTGCTGACATTTCACAGCAGCTATTCTCTTCAATAACAGCAAATGTTTCAAGCATCATTAGTGTCAGAAAGAGGGGTGCATAATGAACAAGAGTGAGACATCAAAGGACTTACGGTGGCCGGCGAAATGCGGGTGGTGTGTGAGAGGTTAGGATGCCCATCACCATCCAGAGAAGAAGGGTTAGTAGCTGTATTCCCTGGGACCACATACGCCACCCCGCCAGCATCCTGATGGAGTGAGTCAAGGAGAGCACACTTGTTAGTTGCTCCTGGCACTTGGACAGGAGTTAGGAGATTTGTCAGATAAGAAACATTCCAAACATGCATAGAACAGGATATGTTACAGAATTCCCACTTCTCATGGAAGAAAAAAGACAACAGAATTACAAAGGCTTAGAAAGAAGTGAAAACCCCTCATCCATGTCTGAAGAAAAGCAAACACCTTTGGAAATGTGAATGCATACAAATTATTAGTCATATATGCATCCACGTGCATGCGCACATACACGCACATACGATGGGGTACCCAAAAGAAACCGAACTAATTTTTTTGTGGGCAGAGTTTTTGTAGTACCGCGTTTTTGCTGCTATGAGCGCATAGAGCTAACATTCCTGAGTCGATAAGCCGACTACCGTTGCTTCAGAAGGTAAGGACTAGTTTCGGCAGAGTTTATAGTGACAACTGTTTTGTGTGATCGTCATTTTTGCAATGGCTGATTTTCGTGAACAGCGTGCGGCGGTGAAATTCTGCTTTTTGCTAGGGAAAAGTGGAACAGAAACTCTTGAAATGTTAAAAACAGCGTACAAGGACAATGCTATGGGGAAAACTCAAGTGTTTGAGTGGTTTTCCCGTTTCAAAAATGGTGAAATGTCAATTGGTGACAAACCTCATTCTGGTCGTCCTTCCACGGCCAGAACACATGAAAATGTTAAAAAAATTCGTGAAATCATCAAGGAAGATCGATGACGGACCATTGAAGAAACTGTGGAGCTGTCGGGAGTGACTTGCAGCTCAGTTCAGCGAATTTTGACAGAAGATTTGGGAATGAAAAGGGTGGCTGCAAAATTCGTGCCACAACTGCTGACTGCTGAACAAAAACAAGGTCGCGTGGAAGCATGCTGTGCTTTGAAAGAAGAGTCCTGAAATGATCATAACTTTTTTTTGTTTCCTCGAATGAAAAGAGACATGAAAGGAAAGCGTTCTGCTGATGTTGCTGAGGTGAAGGGAAAAACGGCGGAGGCACTATCAAGCATCTCAAAAGATGAATTTAGACAATGTTTTGAAAAATGGAATAAAAGACTAGACAAGTGTATTAGTGTAAGTGGAGAGTACTTTGAAGGGGATTGAAGGTCTGTGCTTAAAATTTGAATAAATAAATTTAAAAAAAAATAAGTTTGGTTTCTTTTGGGTACCCCCTCATACATACGAGGCCCACAAGGAAGTATGGAAACTTAATCTGCAAACACCAAGAATCTGTACTTATAAAGATGGGAGGTTAATCCCCTATAAAGTAAGCTCCTTTAGCATATGCATACTTGTTCTACTGTTCCTAACATTGTTGGTAGAACCTCTCAAACCCAGTTTTTGGAATCACCAAGCACTGCTCTACTGCATTATATTCATTTATTTCCACACGATGAAATCATTTGCCTTTCAAGGTTATTTTATGTTTATGGAACAGAATAAATGTCACAGGGAGTGATATCTGGTAATTAGGGAGGCTGTTTCCCTTGGAGAATATTGTGTTTTGCTACAAATTGTGGCACAAGTTGGGCTGAGTGGGCAAGCATACTGTGATGATGAATCTGCTACTTGCCAGATTCATACTCCTACAGCAGTGTTTCGAGTAGTGTATCATGAAGACATCTCAACACTTGTAAACAGAAATGAGAATTAATGTGACCATGTAGAGGTAGTACTCATGATAAAACAGCTCATCACAATTGAAGAAAGCTATCAGCATCAGCTGGTTAGCCTGTGCAATAGACATTCTTTTTCCAGACACACACAGGAATATTTCTACAGTGATGATTTCTGCTTAGTAACTGGGTCATAATTACGACATGTTTCATCATCTATTATATACCATAAAAATTTTCCAAGTTCTGCAAATTGCAGCATTGAGGAGACACATTCAATTGGGTCTTCTATTCTGCTGCTGTGTCAGCAGTCATGAAATGAACTTGGCTGAGGCCTACTCCACTCCTAAATTCTTCAATTACAATGGCAGGACATGAGGTACAAGAAACTTGTTCACTACCTTTATAAATGCGATTCGCACTAATTAATAAGTTTTAGATAAATTTTTTCTGGTCCAGTCTTCTGGCAAAATTGAATGTGCACGTTATTCTGTACTTTTGGGCATCAATAAACCAACACGTGACAAAAACATCTTGACTCCAAAAGTTGACCATAAATGACTGAACCAATGGAATGGGCCATAAAAATGCCTCTTCATGTAATAACATGTCAAGATACATTCAATGCAGGCATGTACAAACACAAAATGATTTATATGATTTAATGATTTTAGGCTCCATACTTTTTGATCAGATCTCATATCTAGGCATGCACACGCGCGCACACTGCCTTTGCGCTTATACACAAGGATCATTTTATAAGAAGGTAGACAAAATGTCACAGAAAAGGGAAATTATTCTGAACAACTCTCCCCTTCTATCTCCAACATTACTGACAAAATTCTTTCCTTTACAGGTTGCATAATGAATCTTGAAAATCTCAGCAGTAAATGTCTCTGGTGTTTAGAAGTGATTTACCTCATTTGCTATATCTGTTTGGTGCTCCTACAATGTCAATTGAATATAACAGTGAAGTTCAGTTCTACCTCCTACAAATAGTTATGTACTGCTGCATTCTGACTTACAGCTGTTACTGTCTGTGGGCTAGCTCTTTGTGCTGCAATGAGGGTATGGGCAGTATCTGGATCAACTCCTTGTTGAATGAGGTAGGCACCATTCCCCTGAGCAAGCAGCTGGCCTGCAGTGGCTCCTTGTGTCAAGTTACTTGCCACCTGAAATTATGTATTCCATTACAAAGTTATAAATTAAAAACAATATGAGCATTATGTGTTTCAAATACACATAGGCCTGTAAATTTTCAAACCTGATATTAAATGGATCTTGCACCTTCCATAATGAATATAATACAGTGTGGTCACACTGCACACAAATCTGAAATAGTGCAACATAAAAAATATCAATAAAGGCTCATTTTATGTGCGAAGTTTGAAATAATGCCAATCCCATGAAATTCGGCAAAAATCATGTATGTTTTCAATGAGAAATATCGTGTATTGAATTATGCGAGTTTTGAATCAAGTGAGGTATTCCAGAAAGTATCCCTTGCATAAAATATGACCACATTGTATACATATTCTTTTAACCTTTTCTACTGCATTTAGACATCTATGAAAGCATGAAATATGCTCTTATGGTCAGAAGTTGACAAATTGTGAACTCAATACTCTATCTGCACGTCCCTGCTTTCCTACGTTTAAATGCCATTGTTCAGCATGTAAAATATGCAGGAAAGCTACAGCATTCTGTTGCTATCACTGGCACTTATTACAAGAAACAGATGCCTGGGAAAACTCATATTTTTTAACACAGATTAATTGGACTGATCATAGCATTACAGCAGGGTATGACTAGCCCCTTACCAACTGAAAATAGCAACAGTGTTTCAGATGTACCTTTCCTGGATATTGTCACGATTTAGGGGTGACTACAGATGGTGAATGGATTTACTGACCACTTATACACACGGCTCATGACTACACTTAATTACAGTGCCATTACTGATCTCCACACTTTACAAATCACTACAGCATATAGACTAGTGTTCTCAGTCTGTTATAGTATCCACTAGTTGTTTCCTGGTAATGGCTTCTAACAGCGGAGATTCTTCAGCTTCACGTTCTCAGTTCACATCTTAACAGCCTCCCATGCAGAATTCAACTACAACTTTGTCCCTTACTTATAACATTTTGACATGTACCACACAGAAAACACAGTTCTATTGCTGTGTTCGTGTCCATTGCAACAGGAACATGTCTACCAAGCCGTTGCCCAGAAACGACCATGGCATGGACAACAGGAAACACCATTCTTCTATTGTTATGTGCATGTATGTTGTGGGCATTACCGAGCAACAGCCAATGTATAGAGAGTCACCGCTTAGCAACAGGTCTATATGCCACAATATTATAAGTGAATTAAAAAGTGACAGTATTAATTATTAGGGCATGTAAAGGTAAAGTTATCCCTGTAAGAGGCCGCGAAGGCCCATGGGGTTGCAAGACATCAAGGCTCCCACATTCTTCTAGAAAACTGGCTCACAGATGGCAGTAAGGCTGTCAGCCTTACACACCGGCCGCCTTTACCCCCCCCCCCAAGGAAGATTCCTGGTACTCATTTCTGTTACTGGCTGAGTCGACCCCAGGGACATGGTGCGGCTGGAAGGACTAGGTAAACTGAAGAAATCCACCTCACCAGGACTTGAACCTGTGACCTTGCTTGTAGCATAATGCCTTAACTAACTACACTACCACGTACAACCCATTATTATGGCAGAGATTTTTGAATTAAAAATGAAGATTAGAAAAGAGACATCAGAAGATCAAAGTTAAGATGCTGGAAAGAGGAGTCACAATCTGGTCTGACGGCTGGAATGTTATAAACTTGAAAGAAGTGGGGAGGAAGCAGTCAAGGCCTATTTGAAGACACTATCCTGACACTCATCTGTAGGGACTGAAAAAACCACAATAAACAAGAATAAAGAAAGTTGGTTTTCATGTCTGAGATATAAGGCACTTTCCAAATAGAAGTTAGAAGAAACAATACTTAAGACAACTTGCTCAGTGCCAACCTTAAAGCAGATTTTCCTAAATACAAGTCAGGAACACTTATTGCTCGACACAATTTGCTCAGTAACAACCTCGGAAGTATGTTTGTTAATTACAATTTACCTGACTATACGTAACTGCAGTGGTGTTACCAGAGTAGTATTGGCCAGATGCTGCGGTGTACATAGTCCCAGTTTCCCCCACTGTGTACACTGGGTACGATCTGTGCAGGAACAAATAAAGAACAATTACAATGACAGGCAAAAACAAGAGTACTAACATTCCTTACAATTTTGCATCTCCCTTTCGTCTTGATGCTTATTTGCTTAGACACATATTAATGACACTTCCGACAATCAGTATAAAAATAATATACTTTACGGTTACAAATTACTTTTCTTTTTAATTATGAAAATATAAGGTACAAAACACAAGAAGTTCTGGGAAGAACTAATCACTGAGTTTCCTTTGGTATGACACAGACCACATAGAAAATTACAGGTTCAACAATCCTTCTATTGTTTGGTGTGAATTTTGCTGCTTTGGGAACACGTTTACCAAACCGTTACCCAGCAATGTAGGGGGGGATGTATATACATATGCACAGACAGCAAGGTGATCTAATAAGCTTATCTTAAAAAGAGAACAAACTCCGTGGTTTTAGTCTGCAAGCGAACTATACCAACTAAGTGACCGCTGATTGTTGACGAAGTTAGTGCCAACTTTAGTGGATAGAGGGTGTCGCGTGGTCAGGGCAACAAATCCCCATGGCCGTTAATCTCAGTTTTCTAGACCGGAGCTGCTATTTCCTTGAAATAGCTCCTCAGTTATCCTCATGCTTCATTTTTTCAAAATAGAGAAAGTATGCTAAAAATATGTTTAAAATGAGACTATTCATAGATACAAGGCAAATCTCTGTATGTGGGTACAGTGTGCCTCTCACATTATGACACAACTGGCTGTCACAGGGAAAAACTAATTCCTGCACCTCTCCTACGAAATATATCAAAAAGAAAATGACTGCAGTAGGTACCTATGCCAATGACGAAAAAGTTCACGATACTACTAAGACAATATGTTTTGTCCAATGTTACAATAAAAGATTTTGAGTCCATTCTTTTGAGAACAAACTTCTGTAAGAATTATGTATCTTTTACACATCTGAGATATAATTATTGCCGCTATGTACCTAAGATTTTGGACAAAGGTTTGCTTTTCAAAAGGACTGCATTCCACCCCACTATCGTCATTCTATAGTCAGTTCCTTCAATAAAACAGTTCCTAGAAGGTGGACTGCTAATGGTAGCCCTGTACCACAGTTCTCTCAATCTCCAGATTTGACTCCAATTTACCTTTTCATACAAAACTTGTAATCTTAATCCCAATAGAACTCGGCTCAGGTAATAATGGTTCAGCTGTACTTATTTCAGTCTGCATGATGCCATTAACAGCATACGCATTTAACAGCTGACAGAAGTATTTTTCAACATATTCAAAATACTGTGCGTATATGCATTTAGATTACCATTCTCATATTGTACCACTTTAGTTCTACGTTGGTAGCCTCCTTAAATTCATGTGTCTCAATTAATCCTCTGTTGCATCATTACACTGATGATAGCTAAGCAATTAACTTCAGTGGCCAGACCAATTAACTTCAATGCCTTTTTCACAACACTAGCATAAAGCCAATTCAAATTTCAGTTAAAAATTGTTAAAAACTAATTTACAAAAATACATAGCTAAATAACTGAAAAAATTAACATTTCAATGGAAAATTATTAAAATACACTTCATCAAAAAGACCCAATGACAGCAAACTTTAAAAGTTACAGAAAGACAGCTACATTTACTCTATGATACTGAACTTCACACAACAACAATATGCATTAAATGGGTCTACTATCAAAAGATTTTTTTTTTGGCAATGGTGAACTCTGTAGTACCAGCTCAAGCATACTGTCCACTGCTGCCACCTTCTACCTCTATATGTAACTATATGCTAGCACACACAATGAATATGCACTACAACAGAAGAACAAAGACTTTTATGTATGTAAAAAGTAAAAAAATAAAGTAAAGCTATCCCTGTAACAGGCCATGGAGGCCCATAGGGTTGTGAGACATTGAGGGTCCCACATTATCTAGACAATGTGCTCAAAGTTGGCGGTAAGGCTGTTAGCCTTACGCGCCGGCCACACTTTACTATAGAGGAAAATTAATTTAATTCCTGGTATCCATTTCTGTTAGAGGCTGAGTTGACCCAAGGTCCACAGTGCAGCTGGAAGGATTAGGTCAATTGAAAAAAAATCCAATGACCTCATCAAGACTTGAACACGCTACCTTCCAGCTTGTAGCATGGTGCCTCAACCAACTATGCTACCACATACCCCCCTTATACGTATGTAAGAATTATTTAATGTGATCGCAATTTAGTCAGAATACTTGAAGAGATGGGACCACTTAAGAAGACATTTTAGTTGATGGGAAGATAATACTACAACACATCTTGAAATAGGAAATACTGGCTGCAGATAGGATTCATCTGGTCCAGTGTCAAGTTTTTGTAAACAAACATTAAGGTCCATAAAGAACAGGGAAGATCTTCACAATTTAAGCATATATATGTCTCCCCAAGGAGAACTCTGCTCCAATGATGTAATTACAATTTAATATGTTAAGTTTGGCGAAGGGTTAAACAGTCCTGTTACAAGAAAACCAGTATAACTTGCATTCAATGTATTAACAGCTAATATAAGTTGTCACTTTAGCCCAGGCATTTAGTTATCAGCTTCTCACTGCCAAAGCCAGGGTTCCATCCCAGGTCAGGTCATGTGAGATTTCTTGTGCACAAAGTTGCTATGAGGCAGGCTTTTTCCGAGTTCTTCATTTTCCTCTGACAATCCTCATTCCACCAACTACTTCATATTCGTTAATAATTCTATCACTGATGCTATACAATCTTGATACTGACAGCTTCATTAAATAATCAACTTAAAAAAGAAAGAAATGAGTATCACTTCAATTCCTAACTAACTCTATGCAACCAAGAACTCCTCAAAATGCTAACACTTGTTCACCTACTTAAGAAATTTCCAACATTTTATGGAACCCAAAGGTTTATGAACATGTTCACAAAAGGGTACTAATATGGCTGGCAAACATAACAATCTATGATTAAATAAAACTAATATTAACATGTTAACATCTGTTTTTATTATAAATACCACTACATGTTCCAAACAATGTGATCATCTTCAGGTGGTTTATATGAATATATACTGTTGCTATTGAACTGTCTGACTAACATCAATCCATATTATTAAAAGTAATAATGAAAATATGTTTGTTGAATTTTGGGGTATATATCATGTAACTGTCTCATACTGTCATGATTTTGGAGTGACTATACACAAGGTTTGGACTGGTGACTCAACATATTGATCTCTTTAACACACAACTTGTAACTAAGCTTTACAGTTCACTGTTACACGCACACTAGTGTCTGTTTGTCTCCAATAGTTGCTGCCTGGTAACAGATCCTACTGATGGTGATCCTTCTTCTTCCATCCTCACATTGTTACGGTCCAGCAAATTTCCCACAATTCTCATTCACCAACCAACTACTTTACTTCACTTCACTCAATCGAACTGCTCTCAGACAGCCTCGGATCCTCGCTATATAGCCTCAGGATTGACACAACACAAAACACTGCCTCCCACAGTTCCTTAATTGTTGTTATAAGTGGTTGCCTAGCAACAGCTCAGATATCACTAATGTGTTTACTGGATGTCACCAAGCAATGCATGTTCCTTCTCATGATCGTTGCATAGCAATGCTACTATATACTACAGTTACTGTTAGAAGTTAGAAATTAAATGTTAAACATTAAAATTAAGTAAACTGAATAAAACAGAGTGTAGTTGGGTTGAGCTTAGTGAGCTTGTTGTGATAAATTATGTTGTTCAGTCGGTGTTATGTATCTGAAAAAATAGAAACAATACTTGTATATCTGGTTATAAGTGTTGTAATTACAAGGTGTAATAAGGGTTGGTTACTTAATTTTATTTACTCATAGATTTTTGTGCTGATGGTCACATTAGTACCCTTAATGCCACACAACAGGACACAAACAATAAAGATGTTCACAAAAGCCTGTCACTGTTCCCTATCCTTGGTCACATGAATCCCATCTATTCCCTTCCACTCTATTTCTTCAAGACTCATTTTAATATCATCCTCTTATCTACTCTCAGGTTTTCCTTCAGATTTTCTACTAAAAAACCCCTGCAGTCACGTCTTCTCTCTACCATGTGTACCACATGTCCTGTCAGTCTCATTCACTTTGATTTGATACAAATTATGAAGCTCTCCATTATGCAATTTTCTCAAGCCTTTTGCCGCTTTCTCCCCTTTCAGCTCAACTATTCTCAACATCCTGTTCTTAAACACAATCAGTCTATGCTCTTCCCTTAATGTAAGAGGCCAAGTTTCACGGCCACACAAGACTGGGCTGGGCTTCCAGGGTTCAATTCTTAGTATGAGCAAGACGCTTTTCTTTTCTCCATAGTGCCCAGGATGGCTCTGGGGCCCACCCAACCTCCTCTCCAATGGGTACCAAGACCTCTTCCCCCAGGGGTAAAGTGACCAGAGCATGAATGTGACCATGTGACCACTCACCTCCGTCTAGTGCTGGGGGCAAGAATTGTGGAGCTATACTTCCACTCCCCCACATATCTTCAAGATGTGGTGCTTAATTAATTAAGCACAGGGCCATGTTTACTTGCTTACCTTTACTTATATTCTTAGATAGCAGGAGGACACAAGGTTATCATTTCAGTTCCCACACAAACATAATTCAACAAGCTCTGCTCTCTACATCACTTCTTTAAACATAGAGAAATGCATGGAAATTCATCTAACATAACATGTTCTACTGCATCAACACTGATGGAAAACATAGCAAAACCATACTGTATATGATTTCTATGTCTCTGTTCCTGAATAATGCTCACATCTGTCCATTGGAGGAGGCATAGATGGCCTGGTCTGCTGAGCCCTCTACATACTGCACATAAGTGGGGTGCACCCCCTGTGCAGCCACTGCGTCTGACCCCACTGCGTCTGAGTCAGTAACTGCAAGGAAAGGAGAGAAAAATAAAGATTATGTGAGATTTCACGTTCTGACAGCTGTAACTACAAAGAGTATTGCCCTCTGGGATGTGACACCATGTAGTATGGTAGAAGTTTACTGATGTTTCAAAGAAACATGCTGCCTCCATTCTCAAGGCAGTATTCTACTCTGATGATGGAGACAGCGTTCTCCCCCAAAACAATGGTCAACATGTATCAGACTACACTGTACCACATTCCAGAAGACAGTACTTCAATAACAATTAAATTATCACAGTATTAGTTAATTCAGCAAGTATACAATATTCTGATACAAAGAGCAACTATACTAATATTTCTATACAGGAAAGAAGCAACTATGTATCATTGAAATCTGGTCTGCAGATTTGTTTATATTAACAGAAGTTACAGGATTCTGTTGCTTAAAACATTGCTATATTATCTGATTTTGTCTACTTAAAATATCTATATAAAATTAATTCAACATTTTCAAAATAAACATCTGGAAATTATCATAAACATTTCTATACAAATATACTCAGTGTCTTCCTTACAATGACGCTGGCATTCAGATGTACAAAAGAAGGAACGAGGAGGGGCTATGCATGAGGTTTCTTTATAAACAGCGTGAGAATATATCCAATGTGTGAAGAAATTACGAACTGAAGTTAAAATCAAAAGTTTATCCTTACATAAGCTAACATATTTCCATCATGTGACTGAATCCATTTCAACTTATGCAGGCACATCAATAAGTCGGTTTTAAAAGAGAGGGAGAACATCCTTACAGGCCAGAATATCTGGACTCCAACCATTTTTTATGCCTCAAGTAGTTTAATGCATTTTGAAATTGTTTGGATTTAGTATAGCATAAATTTCTGATTTGTTTATATTTTGCATCACATAAGGTCTTGCAAACTCTAAAAAGCCATTGCATCAGTTCCAGAAAGTTTGTAATGGGCCTTGCCTAACAGGCCACAGCTTCAGCTCACAATTTCATGGAAGTTTCTTCCACTTCCTTATGGAGCATGATAAATGTCACACCTTCCCTCACTAGCCTGTTCCACTGTCACTTGGGCCATACTATCACAAAATTTCATTTATATTCACGTCTCCTCTACCTGTACAAACATCCTCTATTCTCCCTCTCACTAAAGGTGCTTAGTTAGTTACACTGAGAGAAAAGTGCATAATATTTTAGATTTCTTGTCGTTTTTATTTGTGTGAGATTATACACAACGAGATTTGTGTGTGTGTGTGTGTGTGTGTGTGCGTGCGTGCGTGCGTGCACATACGGGTGCATGGTTTTAAGTAACAGGCCTGTCATACGAATTCAACTGAGAATTTATTAAAATCGCTGCACAAATGTTAGACAATATACAATCAGCAATAATTTCAAAGACAATATTACAGCATCAAAAAATACTATAATTTTAGTGGTGGTACTAAACAACTACCATACAAGAAAAGAAGTTAGCCAGGAAGCATCAACGTAATTTAAAGGCAATTTCAAAGAGAGGCAGTGTCATATGAATCTTTGTTGCCATAATCATCAAAGGGCTTCTTACAAATATGTGAGTGCAGTCTGGTAACAGAAAGAGTACATTTTAAGGCTCCACTGAAGCATCTACAGTATAAAAGTAGTCCATCTGTACAATCAACATATGAGCACAGTGGGGTCCACAGCCCTCCCTGACCCAAGAAGGCATTGTATTTCTACCAAGAGGAATAGGGGTGTTCAGCTGCAAATAACAGCAACTTTGTTTAAAACGTTCCTCTAAGGAAAGTGTTGGTTACAATGTATTGTAAATGTAAACTCTTAAAACTTTATAAAGGGGGAAGGGATTTTATTCAGTCCTGGCCCCAGCCATTCCAATCATTATGAACCACCACTGACATTTTTTAAAATTGTGACATGTTGTTCTAGGACAGACACAGTGGGACCTATAACAAAATATCTTGATAAACACCTGAAATAATTTTTGTTTTCTTTTCCTTTGTTTTGTTGGAATTTATTTCCTGCATATTTTGACACCTTACACAGCAAGCGCAATATTCATAAAATTCAAAGAAATTAATAAAATAAGTAGATAAAATAATAAAATATTCAAATCTGAAAACTGAGAATTAGATAACTGGATAATGTAACTCACACAAGTGGTGTCTGAAAAGAAAACTGGGTTAGAAAATACAACCAACTGAGGTTAAAAAAGGCACAAATGACTTTGGGGACAGAATAGGATATTTTTATTTGAAGGAGAAAGCTCTGGATAGCATTAAGTGGAGGAACTGTTTTGGAAGAGACTGTGGACCTGTCGTCTGACAGATTACTGATGAATGAATGAAATGACTTAACTGTCAAAGTGTGGCATTAGAAACCAATGAACCAGTGAACGAATGAATGAACCAACCAACCATGAACCAAAACTGCCAATAAAATGTCTCCTTTTTATATCAACATTTAGGGGTTCCACCAATTCTGTAAAAGACTGTTTCTCACTTTTGTTTCCTTATTTATTAGAATATATGTAATTTTTACAAACCATTTTAGAAGCAACCAGGAGCAATTAATTGTCATAATCTTGCTGCCTGTTGCAGTGACCTAGTTTTATACACCTTACATGAAGAATCTTTATTTTTAGGGCTTGAACAGTTATTTTCTAGACTTCTACCAACATTGCAGTCAGAAATTTAAGCAGCAAGAGGATATTACTGGATGAATTTTAAATGAGGGGAATATATTCTTTCCAAATTATTTTAAGCTTTAAAGTGAAGAACATAATTCTAAAACAAGGGGGCTTAAAACAGTATTAGAAACTGTTAAACTCTGCATGTTTAAGAAGAGACCATACTCTTCTTGTAAAAGCACAAAAACTTCCTGCATGTCTGGTGAGCTTGCAATAATTCACTCCAGGGGAACTCCTTTTATCCAACATGAGGCCTTTAGAAATAAAATGAGATTTACTGAACATGGAAATCGCCCTTCAACACAAATACATCATGACCACTGATAGTAGAGGACTACATATGCCCAGCAAACTACAACACTGTGTACCAGTGAAAGCACTGTGCCACCAGATGAATAACTATGATCAACTTGGTGACATTCATGTTGAGGCTTGAAATAATGAGGAAACAGCATCTTTATACATTGTACAATCTTCTTTCACTGCTTTAAATTACTGACATCATTGCTGGTACAATATCCAGCCCCTTAAAATACAGAGTCTTCATGGAAAATGCACAAAACTTGCTCACATCAAGAGGCAACAAAATTACAACAATAAATGCTGTGATTAAAACTGGACATCATGCTTCAGTAGGTAGCATTCCTACTTTGCATTTGGTATGTCCTGCATTCAAATCTGGGCCCAGAGACCAGCTATCCTCACTACGGTATATCGTGGTTTTCCTCACTCTTTCCAGGCAAATGTCAGGTTTGTACCTCAAATTAGACCATGACCACGTCTTTCCACATATTTTCCAATCCACTATTCACTAGCCATCCTATCATACAACGCTATATAGTGCCATGCCATTAAATAAACCATAAATAAATAAAATGCTGCAAAAACCAGCATAAACTATAATAGGGAATAAAAATTAAGGAAGCATACATGGAAACTGCCCTTTGGAAAAAATGGCTGCCACAAATTCAACTAACCTCTACCGTAATGGCATCTGAGTGAGGAATAAAAAAGGCTAGTGCTGCTAGTGATGGCCAGGAGAAATACTGCAGTGAGTGAATGTGTGCACATTGTAAATTTGTTTTTGAATAATTTTATAAAAAATGGTAAATTATTTTTCAAATTTCTGATGGCAGTGTTCCAATTCCACATGCTTGGATACTATACAACCAGGAGTTTAACATACCTAGGCATGACCATCCTTTTTGGGTGGTCACAACTTCATGATACAGCAATAAAGTACCATTTTATAGTTACCATGGTGACAAGGATTAATAAATTAACATGTATATATCATTACTTAGTACATGCAAGAGAAAAGACAAACATATATGATCAATTTACTACAATGCATATAATATAAACACATAATATAACAGCAGTGACAAATTGCTCAAATGAACCTATCCGTTATTAGCATAGACTAGCCAGGTCAGCATGATTCCACTTCCTCTCGCAGTTCAATTCTAGCCTTTGACAAGCAACACACACACACAAAGTCAAATGTCATGTGCAATTAAAACAACACAGATTTAAAGTTCTTATTCTACCCATATAAATTTCAACTACCTGGTGGTTGACTGACCACAGATTCTCAAACTTCCAAAATGTCTTCCCAAGACATACAGTTTAAGCCTACTATGCATTGCTATACACCAACTAGCTGAATTTTATAAGTTCTGAACCGGTCATGGTCTATCAATCAGCAAAATTCCTACAACAATGCTTCAAATTCTTTCTATACATAAGGCATTCCTCTAAACTAGCTGTAGAGCCTCATCATACGTAAATGTGTAACGCCCCAGACAATATGTATGCCTGTAAGTCCTATATCTGCAATGATACTCTTCAGCACCCTCAGCTCCGACATCTAAACACTCCATTGTCAACATTATTTAACATTTCAAATCTGTCAGTCCTCTCAATTATCTTAACAAGAGAATTCAATCAACCATATAAAAATTTAGAAGCAGTTCCTAGCTCTGAACAAAGCATATCAAAGAATTCAGACATGATCATAACATTTCAGATACCAAGAACAAAGGAAATATGTACTCCGAGGGATAGTTGGAGTTGCTGTCAGCACCTAGGTTACATGACTGATGAAATGCAAAAAATGTGGAGGGAAGTGGCTGTAGCCCAATTCCTTTCATATTCCTGGAGGGACTGGGTATAACCATGAAAACCTTAGGATAGCTAGTGTCCTGGTCAGCACTCAAATCAAGCACCTCTCAAATACAAGTCTTGTGCACTTCTGTTACATCAGCCTGCCCAGTGTATTACAGTGCAGCAAACATTTCTTTCAAAAATGTTTTA